TATATATATATATATATATATGTATATATATCATTAATGTGTTAAAGCTATAGAAATTAATAATTTTTAACTGAATATATGAAAATAATTTGATTTTTGAAGATTGGGATGGGGTGCGGAATCTGGCATCAGCCTTGCCTCCAACATTAAAGAGAATTGTTCTGGTCTCATCTGTAGGTGTCACAAAATTCCATGAACTCCCATGGAGGTAAATTTGCTCCTGATAAAAAAATGCATGGCAAACTTTATAATTATAATCATAATTCTGTTTTAATCCCATACATTAAATAGACGTTAAATCCCATCCATATAAAGAAATAGTAAGCAAAAGATAGTGATGCTGATGATGATTTAAATATCAGTTTTTAATCATTTCTCATGATTTTTTTAGGAGCGGTTTTTGCTTACGTTGTCCGGACGGTGTTGCGTCCGGACAACGACTGCAATACACTTGATCTCATCGTTTTTATTTTTCTCTGCCTTGATCGAAGAATCGCTTTTTTTAGGGTATTTACATCCAGCGAAACTGGAAGAACATTACTAATTACAAACCATTGTTGCACGACTTTCGTTTCAAATATGAAAATTCATAATAAAACATCAATTCGTATATTTCAGTTTTATCATATTCTTAATGATTTGTTCGTGACATGCATAAATATGTGAATTTGAGAAAATTATAAATAGTAATATTTTGAGTGTTATGTGTATGATTATCCTCTCTTTTCTTTTCCTCCTATTTTCTTACAGTATCATGAATTTATTTGGCGTTCTAAAGTTCAAGAAGATGGGGGAGGATTTCATTCGAGACTCCGGCCTTCCCTTCACCATCATTAGGTTTTCATTTTGAATTTTTTTCCCCACATTTCATGGGTAAATTTACATACACATCACACAATTCTTTTTTATTTACTTATCTAACAATATCTAATGTTTCATATTTTCATTTTCTTAACTTGAATATGTGTATGAACAAGGGTATTTATATGTGGAATGTAAATACCTATATTTCATTTTATAATTTCATCATTTTGTTGAAACATATATGCATATTGGCCCTACTAAATTTGCTGAATGATAATTTCATTTGCTTCTTACAGAGCTGGAAGGCTGACTGATGGGCCTTACACTTCATATGATCTTAATACAGTGCTTCAGGCAACGGCAGGGAAACGTCGTGCTGTGGTTATTGGAAAAGGTATTAAGGGTGCGTTTGGGGCAGCTTGTGCGTTTCAGGATAAGCTGTTTACCTTGAAACGCAGCCCGCAGGCGGGCCGTAGGGTTCGACTCACGGCCTTCACTTAGTGTAAAAACTCAAACGCCATTTTGGATAAACTGGCGAAACGCACGAACCAAACTGTACGGAACGCCGCCGGCACTTATAAGCTGCCCCGAACGGAAGACTTAAATCATACATTTAATCTATAATTTGAATAAATTATAAAGTGATTCATTTAATTGATTGGCAATTTTAATAATATTAATCTATTTTTTTAATGTATATTACATGATTTTACGATTAATATAATTTTATTTTGTTCTAATAATTTTGGCTAGAAAGAATAAGGAAGTTTTGCTTACATAACACAATTCCTACATATTTACATATCTAACACCTAAACTTTTTAAAATTGGAAAAATATTATATCAAGACTCCTAACATAGAGCTACGTTCGGAGTCCGGAGCCACGTGTCAAGTGGACTTCACCATTTTTAACACTGCGCGCGCGCTTTCGTGTGATCTGACCCGGTAACACATGAGAATATTCCTTTTGTGTTATTGTGCGTTATTCAGGTGTTATTGTGGTACTTCAAAGAAACGTGCGCACTTTCGTGTGATCTGGCCCGGTAACACATGAGAATATTTCTCCTGTGTTATTGTGTTATTGTGCGTTATTCAGGTGTTATTGTGGTGATATTGATATATTATTGTGTTATTATAACACTAGGAATATTCTTGAAACACAATAACATATGAATGTCACCACAATAACACCTGAATAATGTGGAATAACACGCTCACAAAAAAGATTTCACAAGAAAGATTTACATAATTATATATCTACAACTGCTTCAACTTTTATCTATATGCCACCTAACATATTCCACTTTTTAGAAGTTAAAATAATTACATTTTTATGTGACATGAAAGATTTGGGTGGTATTAGTGTAAAAATAAAATTTCAGGTGTTATATATGTAAATACATAAAAATTGAGTGATATCCATGCAAATGCCCCTAAAATTAAATGGTGGAGCTCAAAGCAGATTAAATTGAACCAAGCTAAACAAAGAGCATCAATTTTTAATGTTCCATGCCTAATTCTTTCATAATTCTTAGGCAATATTTCTAACATTTAATGCTAAATACTTCAATTATTCAAACATTTATGACTATGGAACCGAACTAAAGCTTGCATAGTTATTATTTCTCATATGCCCTTTTAATTTTAATTTTTTTTGTTTATATTTCAACTTGATATTATTTCTCATTTCTATTTTCAGGAGATAAACTTGTTGGTGAGGCTAGCAGAATTGTAGTGGCAGAAGCATGCATACAGGCGCTGGACATAGAGTTCACTCAGGGACAAATATATGAGATTAATTCAATCGAGGTACCAATGTATTATCATAGAAATCCCAATAAATTACAATATATATACATAATTGGTAAAAAGTTAATAATGAGTATATTAATGGTTGCTAAATAATTTCAGTAATAAAAATGCAGGGAGAAGGGCCTGGAAATGACCCGGAAAAATGGAGGGAGCTATTCAAAGCAGCTGAAGAAGATTAGATGGATCAACTGCTGTTTTGCTTTAAGTTCATTACAATCATATATATATATATTCTCATTTCAGGCCAGATTTCAAATCGAGTCGAATTATATTTGCGCAACAATGGGGCAAACTTAAAATCCATTTCGTCTAGAGTGAAATTCAAAATTTAAGTGAAATAGCATCATGTCGAGCGAATTTTATGTCAAACAAAAATTGAGCGTACTTCGTGTTTTAAAATTTTTCTTGCAGATTCAAACCAGAAGAACTATTACATGTTCAAGATAGATTCATAATGGATTGCTTCTTCTCAGTTATGGATGAGTAGGATTCATCATTATCCCAACTATTTGGGGTTAGTATGGATTCATATTTAGCATTTGCTCATGTTGAGTATTGTCCAGGGTGCTAAACACAATCTTCTAAAATCATTTTGACCAACAATGGCAACATTTAATCCTCTAGTATATCTCTCTTCACACAAATCTCCTAAAACATTTCTTTATTTCAATCATTAAACAAAGATACATAATAGATCCAAAATATGTAAACCAATTATATCCAGGTATCACTTTGGTAATATACAGTGATAAATAATAACATCAAATCCACTAAAATTAAAGATTTATACTCTATATTCATAGTACTAATTTAAGGCCAATCTTTTTGAAACTTTTGTGCCATCGCTCTAAGAGTTTACTTGTGTGGATATCAAACTAATTAGGATAATATCATATTATAAAGAATAAACTATGCTAATCAGTTAATAGAAGAATACAATTTGCAAAAATCATACACCTATTTTGAATGTACTCAATAAGTATATTCATTACCAATACAAAAAGAAATAAACTCAATATTAATTATTGCCATAAATCAATGTTAATTAAAGATAAGGTGACTCTACAACTTCTAATATCAACCAATGCTCCATTGTGCATATCTTAATTAACTTTAAACATATCTTTGATAGCATTTAATCCTATAAGCAAGCATATCAAATCAGTTATCATGATATTCGGTCATTTAACATCTCAAAATCAATAAAAAATCATATGAAAATCAATTTTTTGTCTTCATACATGTAACTATGTTATCTTAACATAAAAATCACTTTCATAATTTATCTCATGACATGAAAATAAAAATATTTATAGGAACTTGAATGAATTTCTTAAGCCTAAGTTGTACCGTGCATTCCCATAACCTCACTATATGACAAATTTTTGTCTCCTCAACAATTAGCAGTCTTGAACATCAAACTCTATTTAGAAATTCTTACTCTTCAAAATTCTATTGAAAAGATTTATAAGCTAAATTACTATAATGTCACTTGAAGCTTAAGCTTCCCAAATCTCAATAAATAACTTACCTGGACCTAAAGCCTTATCTTCATGTATATTTTGCGGGTCTAACTCTACTTGTTTTTTTTTTTTTTGGATTAATCTATAAGTACTTATTAATATTATTTATTATGGCATTTCAAACTAATTTATTTCTTAAACATCTTTATCAACAATTTCTCAATGTAAGATTTTCAATTTTCCTAAATGCATCTTGAACCAAATGTTCTTGTTTCATAAGTTATGCTCACTATTACAAGATCATAAGCTATTGAGAAATTAAATATACAAATCTTTAATATATTTTTATTTCAAATTAAATAACCACCATGAATCCTTTCAAAGCTCAGCCAATTACAACATATATGACAATTTAAACTAACTCTAATAATTATCATTCATTCATCAAGTGCAAATTGTAAACAGATAACCTATCTCAGAATCAAATTGATTTTTTAATTATCTTTAATTCAACTTGAGGAGCATAAGCTATAATCACATTCATGATTCATCAATAAATTAATTTAAATCGCCTTATTAACCTCAACAATTGTGTATTTTCTCACCAATAATAGTTTATCCATCATTCTTATTCCTAACCTTTCCAGTTTATTTGGGCTTCAAAAATTCACGGATCAGTTTCACATAAGTTTCTGTGTGCTCCTAGTCAAATTTTCAAAAAGTATTAAATTTAAAATAAGACACTGCTTAAGCAAATCCCCCTCATTTTAAGAGGACTTCTTGATTTGGTTCAAGATTTCCCATATACATAAATATGTGCAAGCCTTACCCTAATAATTAATTGGCCCTCTCAATAAATAAAAATAACTTTTGATTAAGGCTAATTGTTAAGGCGTTGATTTGCTCAACATATCATAACAGCAATTGAGTTTAAATTTGAAAACATTATCATACTTTGGATGGTAGGAAAATAATGACAAACCCAATCAAGATCTCATGATTCGGTCATCCCAGGTTGTCATTGTCTCAACATAACCAAAAGAATCTTATTGGAAGCAATGGGTTATTTTTTCTAAAGGGACAATATAAACTTCAGATGGATGTTTACCTAAAAGAATATATTTAAGTCAATCTTAACTAACAAAATATTTTATATCAAATTAGTTATATTTTTTGTGTTGAGTTGTAATCTTTTTTTTTCCTAATAAAGCTAGGCATGTGGTACATAAGATGTGATTGCATTGGCATGGGGTACAAAGAGAGAGAGCACATTATTGAGATAGAGCGAAGCTGTGAATGGGGAGGGGCTATAGCTGAGCACTATTAGGTTAATTTTAAATTTAATTTTATCATTTTTTTTCAATTCACTCATGTGGCCCTCACACTCCCCCATCATAGGGGATGAGTACAAGGGAGAGGAAAACCCAACCCAAAAATAACAACAACAAACCTTTATCCCACTAAGTGGGGTCGGCTACATAAATCCTTTCTCTCCATTGCGTCCTATTAAATGTCAAATTTTCATTTAATTCTAATAATTTAAGATCATTTTTTATACAATATGCCCAAGTCTTTCTAGGGCTATCTCTGCCTATATTAACATAAGTCGAATCTAAAACATCTACTCTCCTTAACGAATCATCAGATGGTCGATGTTTAATGTGATCAAACCATCTAAGAAGACTCTCTATATTTGCCCGCCATTGGAGCTACACCAACACTATCACGGATATATTCATTTCGTATTTTGTCTCTAAGTGCAAAGCCACTCAACTTAGTTTTATGTTTCTCATTAAAAGGCAAACATTTAGCGCTATAGAGCATTGTAGGTCTCACCACCATCTTATAAAATTTTTCTTTCAGTCTAAGCAGTGCTTTTCTATCACATAATAGGTCTCGAAGCATTCATCCACTTCAAGCAACCAACTTGAATTCTACTAATAACATCCCCATCTATATCAGCATCACTTTGAACAATAGACCTGAGATATCTTAAGCATTCACACCTTTTAATAATTTGCTCACCCATAGTTACAACTCTCAACTAGAGCTATTACTACTAAAATTACATTCCATATATTCAGTTTTAGTTCTACTCAAACAAAGGCCTTTAGACTCCAGTGTAGACCTCCATAATTCAATTTTTTTCTGAGCTTTCTCTAATCTTATCTACGAGAAGGATATCATTAGCGAAAAACATAAATCAAGGTACATCCTCCTGTAAATGTCTGGTAATAGCATCCATAACTAAAGCAAAAGGATATGGGCTTAAAGTCAATCCATGATGTAATTCAACTGAAATAGGAAAATATTTGGTCATGATGTAATTCAACTGAAATAGGAAAATATTTGGTCATGATGTAATTCAACTGAAATAGGAAAATATTTGGTCATGATGTAATTCAACTGAAATAGGAAAATATTTGGTCAATCCTCCTGTTTGAACACAAGTAACAGCTCTAGTGTACATATCTTTAATGACTTGAATATAAGTCATATGAACACCATTCTTCTCTAGAACTTTCCAAAGGGTATCTCTTGGAACCTTATCGTAAGCATTTTCTAAATCAATAAAAATCATATGTAAATCCCCCCTATTCTCTCTAAACATCTCCATCAAACCTCTCAATAAATGTCTAGCTTCTATAGTAGACCTGCCTGACATAAAATCCAAATTGTATAAAGAATCTTTGTAATACACATTAGCTTATGTTCAATTACCCTCTCCCATAATTTTAAAGTATAACATATAAACCTAATTCCTCTATAATTTGCACACTTTTATGCATCTCCTTTATTCTTAAAAATAGAGACCAAAATATTGTTCCTCCACTCATGCATCTTTTTAGTATTTTAAAAAATACTAAAGAGTGTAGTAAGCCAAAAAACTCTCAAATCTCCTATATATTTTCACACTTCAATTGGATATCAACAAGTGCTATAAACTTTCCACCCTTGATTTTCTTTAAGGCCTCAATTTTTTATTTTTTACTAATGTGACGGTAAAAATGAAACAGTTTACTCTAATTAACGATATTAAGATCACTAAGGTTGATCGTATTTTCATAATCATTAAAAAGTTCAAAATAACTCACTCACCTATATTAAATATCTTTTTCTAAGAAAAGCAATTTTTTATTTTCATCTTTAATATACTTTACTTGAGTTAAATCTTTACTTTTCTTTTCTCTTTGTTTAACTAGTTTATATATTTTTTTTTTCACCCTTTTTAGTATCTAATATATTATAAAAAACACTAAAAATAGAATTTTTAGTGTCCAAGATTGTTTTCTTAAACTCCTTACTAGTCATTTTATATTTTTTTTCCAGTTTTCTAAGTTTTTATATTTAAACTAATTTTTATAAAAAAAAAACTTCTTATATTTTAGCTTTTGTTGCACATTATTATTCTACTACCGATTATTTTTATTTATAAATTTTTTTTCTTTTGATTCTCTTAGTACATATTTTGTCACTTGTTTAATCGTATTTGTTACTTTATCCCAAATAAATTGTTTCTTCATGAACATCTCAAATCTTGAAATCTTGAAGTCTACTCATTTAAATAATTTAGGTGTCCCCATCTAATCCTAAGATAATGATTCCTAGTATTATTTATTTTAGAACTCTTTATCTTAAAAGCTAGAACTAATAATCGATATTGAGTACTTAAATCCTCACTTGGAATGACCTTATAATCTACATTGTCGAAGATCTTTTCTTTTCATAAGAAAATAATCAATTTGTGCTTTATTAGATCCATTCTTATAAATAATAATAGGATCATCTCATTTCTTGAATAAAGTATTAGCAATGACAAAATCAAACGCTGAAGCAAAATCTAATATGACTCTACCTTTTTCATTAATCACTCCAAAACTGTAGCCATCATGAATATTTCTAAAATTTTCTATCACTCTACCAACATGTTCATTTAAATCTCCTCAAATATAAATTCTTTCATCAAGAGGTATCATTTGTATTAAGTCTTCTAGGTCATTTCGGAATTTATCTATAGAACCTATATCTAAACCTACTTGAGAAGCATAAGCACTTATAGTATTAAAAATTTTAGGATCCTAAAAAAAATGACATATCCCTACTTATCATAATAACTTTTAGCACATCACTTAACGGTGACATCCTAACCCATCACTATTTAATCTTCACCAAAATGGGATTAAGTTGTGTAATTTAAGGGAAATGCCCCCGTCTACCCTTGACTGGTCACCGCAACAAGGATAAATTGTAGCTCATCACTTACAAGAAAGCCACCATAGTATTAAGAAAGTAATCCCAACCATCCAAAATGAACTACATGATCGGATTTTAATAATGTAACCCTCCAATTATCATTTAAATGAAGACGATCCCATTCCATAAACTTTGGGTTTATTAAAATATGTCTCAGTGCATGAAAGAAGCATTTCTCAGCATAGCAACAAAGAGAGTTCATTATTTTTTTCTTTTTTTTTTTTTTATCAAGAGGCCCCTTCAATAAAATCAAAAATCACCTTTTGTTTAAATGAAAATAATGAAAGTTGTTCTTTTTATATAGTCTACATAAGAGTAATCAGAATGACAGCTACGCCGACTCTTAGTGGTGTGCTTACGTTATAACAATATTAGCATAGAATTCAAATTATACTTACCTGTTCTATCTTCATACTAGCATTCAGATAATGGCAAGCACCACTGCCCAATCGAAAGCATCAAGGATCTCAAAACCAGCTTAAGATGTCGTTGCACGCACCGCTGCTTATAATTTTGCTCTCATTTTTCAACAGTTATTCCTGAGCAATCAGACGCACAAAAGATAATGACAAGCACCAGTGCCAGATCAAGAACCCCAAACCAGCTTGAAGATGTTCTTGCTTGCAACGCTGCTAATAGTTTTGCTCTGATTCTTCAACATTTCTTCCTGAGCACGTATATTACCCTCCTTCAGAAGATGCACAAGTTAGCATGAGGGTTGTTAACAAAAAGAGAAAATATTGGAAATGTTCCTATAAATATACAATGAAAAGTTCTCTGGAAGACAATCCTTCGTGCTCTATGATTCTACGCTAATAAGATTACACATCAAGTTAAAAAAAAAGAGGGCATTTTACATACACCACCCAATTCCTATCTAATTACACATCCAACACCTGAATTTTAGTTTTGACATTTATACCTCCCAAATCTTTCATATCACATCAAAAATTTCACCATTGTAAGTTTAAAAAAATTGAAATACACCTTTTCATGATAGGTGTTACGCATAGGAATTAAGTGGTAATTATGCAAATCTTCCAAAAAACAAACAAGAACGAAGGTAACTAGGAAGAATACCCACAAGTAAAGAGTATGCACGAGCCAAGGATAAGACAGTCGGATATAGGTCTATAACAGCTAGAGCAATCTCCTCTGTTACTTGGGGAATCTGCAATGATTGGTATCAAAGAAACCATAAATAAATAGGAAATAATAAGCCTTCACTGATGATCATATAAAGCATGCATGCGAATGTGAGAAAAAGAAAGTTACCAACTTGAAACCAAAGCGACCACCAAAGAAACCACACCGTGAAAAAAATAACTAAAAAAAAGGATATTCACATATATACTACTTGAGCCTTTTGCATTTACATATTTAACACCAAAATTTAACTTTTTAAATTTATATCACCCAAATCATTCATATCACATGAAAAATACCACTTTTTCAAGCATAGGTAAGGTGGTATGTATGTAACAACTGAATTTTAGGTGTTAGATATGTAAATACATAAGAATTGAGTGGTATGTAAATAATTCTACCAAAAAAAACATACTGGGAATAAGCTTTCTGTTCAACATAGACAAAAAAGGATAATCACCTGCATCAGTTGGAGGGAAAATACATCAGTAACTGTAATCTTCTCAAGGTCTTGACACCTTTTAATAAATTCATTAAACATAGGACAAACTCCTTGACCTCCGCCAATCTGATTTGGAAATTGTGCACTGTAGTACTGCTTTATTGATAGTGAAAAAAATCCGTATCTCCTAACAGTGTCGGCGAAGCCATTGGTTCTCTGAACATCAAATCCTTCTAAAATTTCTGTTGTGAAACAGCTGTAAATAAGGAACTAAATGTAAAAATGAATACTTGATGCACGTAAGGAGTTGCAAAATAAGATGGCCACCACATTATAAAAAAAAGGAAAATAAAGGAAAAAAGGATCAACAGAAGAGGAAGACTAAATATTATAACCCTTGCAGAGAAGAAAAGAGAAAAATAAAGAGCCAAACAAGAAGTGTCTCTCCAATAGGGTCGCTATGGTACTTTAAGGTTTACCAAGAATTAATTAGGTTTCAAATAAGAACTTTACCTGAATAAAATTAATCAGATGTTCACTTAAGTATTGTTTCTGCCAAATGAAGCCCTAAATGTAATTTAACTCATCTCTGAGCTTCTTCAAATTGTTAATGAAGGCATGAAAATCAGAACCACAACCACAACTTGAAACAGATGCTGGGGATAAACCAAAGGTCAACATTTATATTGAAACAACTAGATTTGAATCTTATAATCATAAATCAACAATTTTCGTCTGCCGTGTATTCAAGTAAGTTATCATATTTTTAATTTTCATCAGCATTAGATCCCTTCTCCCCCAAGCATGCGAGGGGTGATAATCTGGTAGAATTTTATAGTTCCGTCACAGTGGATGGCACAAAATTATTGCCCTTTCATTTTAAAAATTCTATAAATTCCATAGGTATCCATATATAGTCAAGCATTATAGCATGCTTACATGAATTATAAGAAAAGTGAGCGATATATGCATCCGTCAATTTCCTATCATTGCACGTAACGAATAAGTTTAGGACTTATCAAACTTTATTCATAGCCATGCCATTTTACGAAACCCGGGGGAAGAAAAATGCCTATTCTATCCTCAATGGCTTAGAGAAGCAAAATAGAAAAAAAAAAAAAAAAAGATCAGTTATGCATCTAGGATGGCCAAAAAAATTGAACAAACAAGGATTAAATTTACGTTTCAACAAGAATTCTTGTTGAGCATACATGGACACATGATATAAGCTATGGAGAACTTGGTTGCAAGGCATTGCGTGACTAACAAAAGTTCAAGAAGGTTGATGCCAGGTAGTTTCCTCTATGGGTTCTTCAGAAAAAAATTTCTTTAAAAGAGAAAAGAGTAAATAAGCCCAAATAACTGAACCAAAAACTTACGAATGATTGAATATTACTTTAATCAACTAAAAGATTATAAGCGGACTATTAAAAATAATAATCAATATCAACATTAGCTTTACGAATCCTGGTTGTCATTCAGCTTAGAAATTCTCATTTTGTCACTAGGTCCTACCGAAGTTTCTGAAGTAGTAAACATTCTAAACATGTTCTATGCATCTTTTGAACAAATTCTATTCATATTACCTATTGTAACAACCAAAATTTTCAATAAGCAAAATTTTGCTTGCCATCCCACAACTAGGTTGATCAGCTAAATTTGGGGCAAACGGTCAAGAGGCAATTTGGCTAGACCCTTGCGGATTGGTTTTGAGGTTGGCTTTGGTTGATATCAATCACCATCATGGCGTTGGTCAGCCAATCGGCTAGACTCTTTGTAAGTACTTCAAGTGAAGGATATTAACCAATTATTGGTAGTATATTAACTGCATGTTTTGTATGGAATTGTAGTTGTTCTTTTGTGTGTGATGATGTAAATGCATAATATTTCATTCTCATTTGTAACTTTAATGAACTAGTACGATGATGTGTATATTTAATCGTGTGAATGGATGAATGAGAATGCTAAATGATAAATCAATTAAGTGAGAGATTGGAGAATGTTGTGTTCTTACTGCATATTGCATAATGTTTGGGTTTGGTTTAAGTTGCTCTTCAAGTTAATATCGAGTTAGTCATTCTCAATCTTTCATTTGAAACTGATGGAGCCATATCTCTTACTTGAACCCTAGCTCGTTCCTAGAGATACTTCTAGCTTTTCTTACACATCAATATTAATTTCAATTTTCATTCCTTAAACCATCCATAGGTTCTTCCCTAACCTAGCTTCGCAAAACCCAAACCATAGCCTTTATTCTAAATTGACTAGAAACCGATCTCAGGATTATTGTGTGCTAGTAAATTCCTGGCGATCAAGTGTATATTAACATTTTGGTGTTGTACGAAAATCCGGCACATATACATGTAAAAAGAAATTGACAAAGAAGCTAATAGAAGTTTTTACGTGGAAATTCATAAATTCGGACCATTCCATCAAATGGCCTATAGTGATCACTTTACTCAAATGATATTTTCTGAGTACGTAAGTGTCTTAATGATATCAGAACTAAGGGGTTGTTTGGCTGGAAGGATTTTTGGTGTATTGTAATTCATTTACAGGGATTTAAGAAAATTATGTGTTTGGTATGAACAAGTATAATATAAAGTTTCAATGAATTTAAAGTTCACTCTTTAGTTCATTTTGGGTGAATTTAGAATTTGACCAATTTAATTGAATTTTAATTACACTGTAAAGTGCTACCCGCAAAATTTCGCTCGTTGCCCCCCCCAATCGCCCTTCGACGGCAGCTGGCCGCCACCCACCCCCC